ACATAGAAACAAGCACATGCATACACACACACACACACACACACACACACACACACACACACGCACGTGCGCATGCACACACACGTACATACATGCACAGAAGCTCATGCACGCCCATGCCTTCTCTAGTGTACGCAGACAAATCGCTCTGCTGCTCTTGACGCTGCTACCGCCGAAAGACCAGCAGATGCATGAGGATGACGAGCTTCATTAGAAGTACAGCTGCTGCCCATGCTCTTGCTTGGGCTAGCGACTCACTGCTGCAGAGTCCTGGCGAGGAGGAGGATGAGCGTGGCGGTGCTGCAGTTCACTGTCGGCCACGATCGCTGCTGTTGGTGCAGTTGCTGTTGCTGCTGCCTAGGGAGGAGTAAGTCCATCATGGGCCTTACGTACGTAGCGAGGGAATGCAAATAGTCGCATACGCTTGGCTGTGCTGTTGCTGCACCTGCAGCTGCCGAGCCGTGGGTATCTGGAGCGCGCTCGGCATCAGTCCACAACCCCTGACGAAGATTGGCTGTTATTGCTACCGCTGCAGCAGCTGCTGCTGTTGATGTGGAAGCCGACGCCACAGAGGGTGCTCGGCTTCTCGAAGGAGGTGTGCATTGTTTCTGCTGTTGCTGTTGCTGCCGCTGCGACTTCGGGCGAGAGGCTGATCGGCGCGACGGGAGACTGGCGGTCTGAAAACACTTACCTCCTCCGCTCGCTACTTTTGCTGCAGTTGCTGCAGCTGCTATGTCAGCTGTTCCTGGAGGTGAGGCATCGCGCTGCAGACCTTTGACTAGCCCATACAATGCCTGCAGAGCTGCAGGCAAGTCAAGCGCCGACGCATTTTTCGTCCACATTTGCTGCTGCTGCTGCTCATGCTGGCCCCATGACGATTTCTCCGTCGCAGCTGAGGCTGTAGCTATGGCTGCTTTAAGGCGAGCACCCAGTCGCGGGCTCTTTAGGAAAGACGGAGCGGCGCGCACGAAGCAGCAAACAGAACGCCAAGCAACGGCCGTCATGCCTCCGTGTTGCTGCAGCAACAGGAGTGCGTCGCACAGCAAATGAAATATACACTGCTGCAGAGAAAATGCACCGTCTTCTGCAGCCGCTGCTGCTGCTGCTGCTGCAGATTTGCTGTCCGTCGCATGCGCAGCCACTCGTCTCATCAGCAACGCTACAGGGACGTCCGACAGCAGCGACGCAGCACATGCTGCTGCACCTGCAGAAGGAAAGGGGCAGCAAAATCAGCTGATGCTCCAACTTTCGACACCGTTTAACACAGTAAGACTGGCTTGGGGAGCATCAGCAAGAATGAACGCAAGCCTGCCCACATCAGTGCCTCCCGACGACTTCTCACCTGGAAGGAGCCTCTGTTGATTTGCAGAAGCAGCAGCAGAAGCAGCAGCGGAAGTATGGGGCCATGCAGCAGAGCCTTTGCTGGTCGCTCCAATTCCCAAGCCAGAAGCCAGACAAGCCACTGCCCATGATGCGAACTGCAGAGCCTGAAGCATCGGCACGACGGTCTGTCTGTCCTGCAGCTGCTGGTCTTGCTGCGGTCGCTGCTGGGCTCCTTGCTGTGGTTCCTGTTGTTGCTGTGGCTGCTGCCGTGGATAAATACGATCTTTTATGGAATAAATGAGCGCCAAGCTGACAGCAAGAAGGTCAAGGAGACTATCGCGTACCCCCTCCTGTTCTAGCTGCAGGGACACCCGGCACAGCATCGTCGTCCCCGGCTGCAGCAAGAGCGGGTCTGTCTCTAGAAGCAGCAGCACAGCCGGTACACAATGCAGCATCTCTTGCTGCATGTGGTAGGGAGCTCCACGGATATGATTTGCTGCAGCCGCGAGAAGCTCAATTTCCCCTGTCCAAGATCGGCTGCTGCTCATGCCTCGCTGCAGCAGCGCCGCGTTGTCCCGCAGCAAAACCGCAACGTGAGGCACGAACTGCAGCAATCCACGTGGGCAGAACAGCCCAAGTTCCTGGGCCAGTTGCAGTAGAGATGCCCCTGCAGCAGGAGGGTCGAGGAGGGAGTCTTCTTGCTGCTGCAGCTGCTGAAGCTGCTCTTGCTGCTGCTCGGTTTGGCCTCTCTGCTGCTGTTGTTCTGGTACACCGCAGCAGCATTTCAGATACTCACTCAGACAAGCATCCAGAAACGTTGCTGCGAGCTCCTCCAATGCTTGATGCTGCTGCAACTGCTGCTGCAGCTGCTGTTGCATACGAGGCAGGAGAAGAAGCACTAGAGGGGTATCCTCCAGGTGCTCCCGCGCAGCAGCAACTAAGCTTGCCAGAAGCCTGACTGCCTTTGTCAGGTTCACGGGACTGCATGGGCCTCGTCCCGCTGCAGCAAGAGGCGAACCACCGTAGCCTTGAAGGCCCAGGCTCCTCCGCTTTTGCGGTGTCTGCGTTGCTCCACCACCAGCTGCATCGCCCACTTCTGAAGCAGCAGCAGCAGCTTTCTCAAGGGGTTTAGGAGCAAGCAGTCCAACAACGTCAGCCGCCAGCGCAGCCGTAATGAAAGCCTTTGTTGGGGGATGGTCAGGAGCAGCTGCTAGGGCCTCCAGCAATAAAGAACGACAGCAGCGCGCTGTCTCCCCCAGGGGAGCCGCAGCAGCGCAACCCCGCGCGACGCGTAAGGCTTGCTGTCTAACAGAGGGGGATGTCTCCTGCAGCACTACGTAGCGAAGAAACCGCAGCAGTCCCCCGATCTCCTCTAGCCAAGGAGAGACTGCAACGTGCGGCTGCTCCTCCCGGCGAGCGTCGCCCGGCGGCGGCTGGCTGCAGCGCTGCAGCGCTGCTACAGCGTCCCGTTGTTGCTGCTTCAGAGCGGTGTCAAGCAGCGCCAGAGCGCGCTCGCGGACTCCAGGAGACGAATCTGCTAGTGCCTGAGGCAAAATGAGGGCGATGCCGCTGTTGCTGGTGGTGCTGCTAGCTTGCAGCAAAGATGGCCGCCATGTCGCGCACGCGTGTAGCACACAAAGAGCCGCTCTCCTGAAGGTTGCACAGGAAAAAGAGAAGCACATGCCTAGCCAAGAGCTGCTGAAAGGGGAAGAGAATCACTTTAAGAGCAGCAACAAGCATACATTCCATACCTTACTGATGAGCGGGGATCCACTGCAGACACCTGAATTGCGTGCAGTAGCAAATCGCCAATCCGTTGTAGCGCCGAGAGGGCGAGCGACCGCCAGATGGACACAACCAACTGCTGCTGCTGCTGCTGCTGCCTAGGGCAGTGGATGTCATTGCCTGCAGCAGCAGTAGCACTTAGGGGCAGCAGCAACCCCACATCTCCCGCTGCAGTGGCCTCCCACTCGATGTCTAGTACGAGCTGCAGCAAACGGCTGCTGGTGCTGCCGTCTGCCTTGCTGGATTTGGCCCTGTTCTCCTTGAGGCTGCTGGGTTTGCTGTCTCTGGGCGTACGTTTCTGATTTATGCTGATTTTGTTGCTGCTTCCGCCAAGCAGCAGCAGGAGGCAGGCCATGGCTGCTCTAGAGTGCTGCTGCAGCAGACGCCTGTGAGAAAGCCTCATGGCGCTTGCCGCTGAGCTTGCTGCAGCAGCAGACGCAGCAGCAGCAGCTGCTGCCGGGGTCTGTTCGTGGCGTGCTCCCTTTGCAGCAGGCGCCACTGCTGATGTAGCGGGCTTGCTGCCGCTGCAATTGGCATTTGCGTGCATGAGAAGGGTACAACGGAAGGTGAGAGGTTCGTCGAGCACGCAGAGCAGCAACGACCCGTCCGCAATGCCGTGTGCAGCAGCTGTTACTGCTACTGTGGTCCCTGCGCTCCTGGCTGGAATTGCGGCAGCAATCGAAAGCCACGCGGAGGGGCGAAGTCTGCCTATTGCCTCCTGTAGAGACAATGCGACAGACCGGCGCAGCTCGCAGCCGACACAGACCCAAGGCCCAGCGGCGGTAGCTGACTCCCCTGCTACTTCATGCGGCTTCAAGGAGGCACAATCACAACAGGCCTCCCGCTGCTGGTGCTTGACTTGCTGTGTAGTTCCTGCTGTAATTGGCTTTGCAGCTGCAGCTGCTGTGCTGCGGTTGCAGCCGTGCTCAAGTGACTCACGGCGCGAGCGCAGCTGCTGCTGTGGGTACGCCTGTGTAGGGCCTCTACAGGCGCTGCGGGAGCCTCTCGCTACTGATGCCGCCACTGTATCCGACTGCTCAGCTTCTGACAGCTGTTTTTGTTGCTGTTGCTGCTCCTGCAGAAGAGGAACGGAGGGAAACGGCAGCGGCTCGGCAAAGACAGCAGGCGCTAGCGCAGAAAGAAGGGACAGCAGTGCTGTTTGCTGCTGCTGCTGCGTATGATCCGCCGCAGCATCAGGACGCAGCAGCCTCGCCAACAAGGTGAAACCCACAGCGCGCAGTAGCAGCAGGGAAGAAGGGTGAGAGGGAGACAGAGTCAGCTGCGGCAGAAGACAACGGCAACGAGCGCACTAGTTGATTTCTGCTGTATATAAAGAGGCTTCCTACTGCTTGAAGAATGTTGTGAATTAATGACAACAGAAGGAGAGGCATGAGCTGCAATGCAGTGGTGCAGCAGTGGCAGCTCGACGCACATGCAGCAACACCTACCAACGAGAGATCAGCGACGAGGCGCCGCGCGGCACGCAGGCAGCCGGAAGTGGAACGCAGCGGTGACGGCAACAGCAGCAGCTGCTGCTGTTTTGCTGGCATCTCTTCACCAACTGCCATGTTGATTAAACGGCGAGCGATGTACTTCGCCGTGGCCGCTGCTGCCGCTGCTGCTCCTTCCGCTCGGGTTACAAGATGCTTTGTTTGCTTCTCGAGCGATACGGACGGCGCCGGTGCAAAGGAAGACCCTTCGAGGTGCCTGTAAACTTCGCTGGGCAGGCATGCCGCCTGCAATAGGCGCAACAGCAGCAGTGCCACGGGGTGCGCTGCTGTTACTACAGCACCTGCAGGTACCTGTTGTGGTGCAACAACCTCCTCGCCCTCCTCGTCCATAGCAGCTGCAGCTGCTGCAGCAGCCGCTACAGCTGCATGCTTCCCGCCTGCTTTCTGGTTGCACGACTCGTCTGCAGAAGCAGCGAATTGCTGCATCAACCCATCAATTATTGGCTCGCGCAGCTGAGGGACGAACTGGAACAGCTGTAAGGGCAAACAAATTACAGGCGCCACAGCAGCAGGAGCAGCACTCGGGCCCGCGCAAAATTAGACGAGCGTTGAAACAATATAAGGCACAAGGGACAGAGTTCGGCTACTCCTTTGGCACTCGTCGCTTCTTGCGGCAGCCTCAGCGCCTATCTGCGGATAACTGGAGGGCTTTCCAGAGAAATGGCACCGGAAGTGTGCACACACCGCACACAGCGCCTTACCAGCAGCAGCAGACCCTCTGCCGAGCGCAGAAGAGGCGCAGCGGCAACGGAGAAAGCGGAAAATGCGCGTACACCCCAAATGCAGCACAGACCGGCAGCTAGAAGATGGAAGCTCTCCATACTGAAAGTCTTGGTCTGCTGCAGGGACACGGCGACGCTCCAAAGATGACGCAGGCCCTCCAGCAGGCGCTGCAACGCAGCAGCAGCATCCGTTGCTGCAGCGGCATTCACACCTAAGGCGGACCGCTCCTCATCAGTGTCTTCTGCAGCAAGCAGACACACAACAGAAAAGTCGCCCCAAATTTTCATAGGCACCCGATGCTCCAGCAGCAGCTCCAGCAGCAGCACTGAATGGTACTGTTGCAGCACCTTCTGCCGCTGTGGAGCGGTCACAGCTAAATCGAGGAGCGGCGGCTTTTAATCTAAAGCAAGGGCTACACCATGTGGCAGCTACTAGCAACAGCAGCGGCAAGCGGGGCCAGCGGACCGATCTGGCGCGAGAAGAGAGGCATGAGGGTGTCTCTGCAGTGCGTCTTGACGCATGCAGCCGCAGTTGGGACCAACGACACGCCTTTTTCGTGCTGCTGTTCTTCCAACTGCTGGTCTTGTGCCTGCAAATCCATCTCTTCTGCCGGGTCAATCCCGAGGATAAGCAGAGCAGCTTCCGCATGAAGTGCAACGGCAACACACCCGCACAAGGATGCGAATGCGCTGTTGCTGCTGGTGTTGCCGCTAGTGTTGCTGCAGGGACACACAAAAACGGAATGCCTTTCAATGTGCATCGCCTGCACATGATAGATGCCCTCCCCCAATGCCACGTTGCTGCAGCAGCAGTGTGTTGCTGCAGCAGCTTGCACGACAGCTGGAACGGCTGCTGCAGGGAGAACGCACCTCAAGCGCTTCATCTTCTGCACAGGACGCTGACTCCCTTTGTCTTTTGTTTCCGGAGTTTTCATCGAGGACATCAGTAATCGGTGCGGTAGATGCTGCTGCTGCGGCTGTTGGTCGAGGCTCCAGGACAGCAAGTGCTGGAGACGAGCCATGCCAGCAGAACGAGCCCTGCAAAGGCCGCGGACGGCCTCACTGTGGCCTTCGGCCGTCAGCAGCAGGGCGCTCTGCTGTTGCTGCTTGTGCTTCAACCGCTCCAGCAGTGGCTGCGCTGCTGTAAGTCGAGTAACAAGCGATGCGGAGGCGTCAGCAGGAGGAGGGGGCGAAGCTCTAGAGGCCTTGCTGCACCAGTCCTGCAGCAGTTTCACCAGCAGCTGCAGTTGCTGCTCGTCTAGCTGGTCTCCATCCGCCACTCCTCCTGCAAGTGCACTGTTACCTCTTGCCTTTGGTTTGCCGCCGCATTTCAACGCTTCAGATGCCGCTATGGTTGCACGGCTTGCCGCCGCGGCCCCTCGAGATCCCTGGGAGAGGCAAACGGGCTGCACTGCAGTCTCTGCTGCTGCATCTGCTGCCTCTTCCGCTGCTGCTGCTGCAGCTTCTGCAGCAGATGCACTTGCTGCAGGTGCTGCGGGTGCACCCCTCCTTGCCCTACGCAGTTTTTCTTGTTGCATCTTGGGCTGGTTCTTTTGTCGGCCTCGAGGTTTCTGCTGCCGCCGCCGCTGCTGCAGGGGAGGCCGGTTCTCATCCCCGCTACTACTACTACTACTGCTGCTGCTGCTGCTGGTTTCACGGTTATCTCCACTGGTCTTAGTTTGCCTACTGCAAAGATCAGGCCCGGGGGGATCCCCCTTCAGCCTGCTGCAACGTCGGCGACAATTCTCGAATGATTCTGCGTCCGATGCGAAAACTACTGCTGCTGCTGCTGAAGGCGCTGCTGCTGCTGTGGTGGCATCTGGTTCTGCTTCTGTCGCTACATCGGGTACGCTTCTATAGCTGTATGGGTGCACCTGTTTCCTCATTGCCTTGCTGCGGTGTGGTTGCTTTGGCTGTTGCTGCGTGCGCTGATGTAGCTCCTCCTGACGTTTCTGCTGGTCCTTAGGCTGTTGCACCTGCTGCTGTCGTGCCTCCTCTGCGCTGAAGTTGGCTGCCTCGGATTGAGGCTGAATCGGCTGTAGCTCGTGCTCTTGTTGCGACTGCTGCTGCGGTTGGGCACGCACGCAGGCACGACCAGGGGAAGGTTTCGCTGTGTTGTGTGTCTCTGACAAAACAACCAGGCGCTGCTCCTGTCTGCAAACCATGCTGTCTGCTTGACTGCCCGTCAGTTGCTGCGTGAGCTCATGCTCTTCCTCCCTATCTGCTGCATGCACGGATTCCTGCGGCTGCGAAGGCCAATTCTCAGGCGACCAGCATGGCTCTTCGTGCTGATGCTCATGCGGCGGTGGCGACCCTTGCTGCTGTTGCTGAAGTAGCGGTCCCTGCTGCTGCTGAAGCTGTGGCCGCTGCTGCTGCTGAGCCAATGGCTGCTGCGACTCTGGTTGGAGCGGAGGCTGCTGCTGCTGTTGCTGCCGGTGCTTCTGGAGGCGTTGCTGCTGCAGCTGCAGCTGCTGCTTCATAAGCAAAGTCAGCCGCTGCCGCTCATGTTGTAGCGCCTTTACTTGCTGCTGCACTTGCTGCTGTTGCTGCTGCTCTTCGTGGCTGGCGCCAGAGACTAGCATTGCGTACATAGCCAGAGGCGTCGGCAGCTGCTGCTGTTGCTGCTGCTTATGTTGAAGCCCTTCCGCGCCCCTAAGCAGCTGCTGACGTAGCACCCAGTAGTGCTGATGCTTCTGATTCCGCAGCAACAGAATCAGCAGCCCTGGCTGAGTGTCGAGCAGCCCCAGCAGTTCTTGGTCCTGCAAGAGAAGCCACTGCAAATCGGGCTGTTGCTGCAGCAGCAGCACCACTTGCTGTACCTGCAATAGCAGCTGTTGTTGCTCCTGTAGTTGCCGCGCCCCCCACCACCGAATTGCAGGTGCGTTAAGCTTTTGTACAGCTGTTTCCAGCTTCTGCCTTCCTAATAACTGAGACATAGCAGCAGCTGCTGCAGCAGGCTGTGCCTCACGTGCGGTGGTATATTCGAGCTGGCCGTTCGCAGAAGCAGCTGCTGCCAGATAGGCAGCATGTTGCCGCGCAATGCGCATGGCTTCAGAAGTACACAAAAAAGCATCTCCTTCAGCAGAAGAGCTTCCCTGGGTGCTGCCCAGTGGCACATCTGTTGCAACTTCTGCTGCTGCTGCCGCTGCTGCTGTTGTTGTAGACGAAACAGTCCGCTGCAACAACAGCTGTCGTTGCACCAAGTGAATGGCAAGGTTCAACTGCTGTGGAGACTTTATTGCGCCCAGCTGCAACAGAAGCTGTTGCTGCAGTAAGAGGCGCTGCTGCTGCTGTAGAAGGAATCTCTCCTGTTCTTGCTGATTATTGCGCTGCCGGAAGTGCTGCTCGCGTTGCTGGTGCTCTTTTTCTGCTTGCTGTACTTCGTGCACCGTCTCTAGCACATGTGCGCTGTTGCAATCACCGGCCCCCTGCGCGTGAGCAGACGACGATGGAAGGTGCAGCTGTTGCTGTTGTACCACTTGCTGGGGTTGTGGGTGTGGCTCGCCTTGCTGCCGTTGTGGCTGTTCACGTGCCAGCTCAGCTAGCCCTCCACGCTGGGTTTGTATACAGAGGTGTTCGTGGGGTTCCTGGTGGTGCTGCTGCTGAATGCAGCCATTTTGAAGCTCCGGGACGCCTGCCTGTTGCAGCACCAGCCGATGCTGTATCTGCTGCAGCAGGAGCACATGCTCATGCAGCTGCTGCAACTGGGGATGATTCCCCCGGTGTTGTTGCATGACATCCGAACCACAACGAGGGAGTAAGGGGGACCAGGGTGCCCCCAAGACAACATGGGCCCGTGTTGGGCCCCCTGCGGCTGGCACGGGGCCCTAGGCCCTCCACTGCCCACGACGGCTGAAAGCAAGCAATTAAGATTTTATTTCAAAAGGAGAAAAACGACAGAAAGATAGTGGGGGGGACTTGAGGGGCCACGGAGGGCTGCTTCCTGCACGCCCAGTAAGGTCACTAGAACAGGTCAATCTAAGAGGCGTCAAGGGGGGGTGAAACTCCAGCCAAAAAGACATAAAAGAGTATTGGCTGCGATCAAGCAGATACCATGATAGTGTGATACTGGGCAGTAACAGGCTGCCGACAATCCCTTGCCCTGCCCGAGACCACCGACCCCACAACCCCCAGAATAACCACCTGCTCCACACGATGGTCTGCCCTCCACTTAGATTGAGGAATAAACAAATAAATACGTACATAAATATATATATATATATATATCTTGAAGACTAATCTAGTGAGTGCACTGCCCCGAATGTTTTCAGGGCCCCCTTAGCTCCCACACCACTACTGGCAGTGTGACAAAGTTAAGGAAATTGTGTAGGCGTTGTGCCTGCACTGGCTAGTTTACAAGAGGAGAGCTGTACGGCCATTGACCAAGGGTTGAGGCATGCCTTGCTATTTTGGCTAGGCAGCAATACCTAGAACCACAGTACACGGGCAGTACATTCTGGCGCGTACGCGAAGGATTGCACTTACTCGATATGCCAGCATTCGTGTAGTATCAGTGCTTGCATGTTTATGCGCCCGTTGTTGTCTAGGCTGAAGGGCCGTTGTAGAGGTGGCCGGTAGCATGGCCTTTCCAAAGTTGGTGTACGTATTTCTACTTCCTGGCCGATTGTATAATGGAGGCCAAGAAATTGTCTAGGAATTGTCTTCTGTATTAGTGCACGTAGTCTTGTGCTTTTATTTTGACTGTCCGCACCCGAACGCTCCTCGTCGGTCGTGCTGCTCTCGAGACTGAGCCGCCTCATAAATTCGTGCCATATCCCGCTAGCGAACTTCGGGTACTTGTCAGTGATGATGGCTTTTCGGAAACCATGGATGTTCCACAGATGAACAATTAATAATTGGGGTACTCGCTTTGCCTTCACTGAACCTAAACACAGGAGGAATTGGCATGTATAAGGTTCCTGATCTTCGCCGCGGAGCGTCGTTATCTCTAATACAAGAGTTCCTCGGCTGCAAATCAGAAAAGCTGCGGAACAAATAGTCAAGGAGCTCACCGTTGCTTCACCAATTTCATTCTGTACATGGAAATAAATCGTAGTACTTGTTGAGTGTGCACACCCAAATATTGCACAAGCAGGCGGTTCATATGCTCCGTTAGCCCTCAGACTCCTCATTGCCCGACAGAGCCCCTCTATGACAGGCGTTGAGCAGTGCCATCAATTCGCACCAGAAGGCTTTTGCAAACTGCTAGTATTTCTAAGTAATGATCCTCTTTGGGAGTCCGTGGGGCTTCCAGACCTGCTGGGCTAGCAGCCGTGCCAATCCCTCTGTTGTAACTGAACTGAACCAGGAATGAGGCTGGCACGCATGCTACACGCATCCAAAACGGTGGATAAATGTTGTCGTAACCTCTCAGCAATGGTAAATCCACTACAAAATGGATGTGAGTTCAACAGATGTTTCCACGTCATGGGGAGTTTCATTGGATTTCCACCATTTGCCTGTTATCGCAGGAGATCGCTCTGTTTGTTCAAGTGCTCAATAGGTTGCGATCATGCGCGTGTCGTCCGGTTGTATTCGAATACGCCAATGTGCGTCGGCAAAGTCCAATGCTGGACTCTTCGGCCAAATAGCTGGCCCATTCGAGGCATTGGAGACCGCTTCGCCATTATCACTTTAGAGTGCTTGACGTTAAGGTGCTCTCTATGACGGTTATCCCCATTTCACCCCTTGATGCCTCTCCGTTGCTGTGCTGTATTGCTTGCCGCTTTTCATGGGACCCCCTTGAATCCCAATGCAAAGGATGCTTTATCTAGGGCTGTGGACGAAGGAGCTGCTCTGGGCGCTGTTTTGACTCACGCTCGTATAACAGGGGTGCTTACGCGCCAGTTTCTCCGAGGCTAAAGAGCCAGAATATGAGTGCCCTTAAGCCTATTGAGCCGGTCAATCTGTTCAGCCTTCTCAGCACGCAATGAAGGGTTCAGGGCTACGAGTAGGTGTAGATGGGGCACACGGTCTTGGAATAGGTAAGGAAAAAGCAGAGGACAAACTCAGTCGGTATTACTGGGCCTTTCCCACGATCTTCCTCCTATCTATCTTTTAAGTGTATTTTAGTCATAATTGCTAACGGGGGGCATTTTCTCACCTGCTCTCTCCCTTCAATCCATCAGTGCCGTGCAAGACACGCCTCTACGTCTGAAATTACAAGCGCTTAGATGTTTGCATGCTCTTGTGTCATTGTATAAAAATATACATATAGTTGCATACGTAAATATATATATATATATACACATATATATTTGTTTATCTACGTACGCACTTAGGTACGTATGCATGCATGAATGTATGGATGTATAAATGTACGTATGCATATGTCGGGGTTAATGCTCGTGGCCGTCCTCCTTTTGCCGAAGTTTACAAAGGCTGGAAAAAAGTTTCTTTGACCCTGTCAAGCAGGAATCTTATATTGAAGCAGCCCATCTCGTGGAAATTTTGACACGGATGGCCAGTACGGCTGTGACGGTCGGAATGCGCTTCGTAGAAGCGCCTGAAGGGCGTCGATATGCTGTCTAGCGTGCTCCGGAGACTGCTAGCCAAATACACAACGGGACCCTTCAGTGCGAGTGGTGGATGACCGCGGCAGATAGGGTTGCTGCTAAAGCCCTGGGCCCGTTGGGGCACATATATTTGTTGGAATGGAGTGTTTTCAGCCGCTGAGACAGATCGAAGTTACGTGCTGCTTTGTCTCCAGGCCTATGTTTAGGTAGCCGTTTGAGGACCTTCTCCAGTAGGCGCGTGCATCATGCTTGTCTACATGGTAGATATTGGAAGCAAAAAATCCGTTAAACGACTAACTCCTGTGTAGATACTTCACACAAATGAAAAGCGTGGGAAGCCTTGTTACGTGGTTCCTTTGGCGACAGGAACCTGAGACTGGATGGCAACTCAGTGTAGCTCTGTTGCTCTTCCCACCAGCCTACGACCATATGCAGTGCAAAGGCACACTGTGCATGGACTATCATACTCCCTCCACAGCAATGCCTTTAGAAGATTCTCATAGGAGCTACAACTAAACGACGTGCTCAGCTAAGCAAGCTTCCCTTCCTCTGCTCAAGCACCATTTTAGCTTGCTAGTTTCTGTGTGAGCTGTGGGAGTCGTTTCCTCCCTAACACTGCTGCTACAACAGTGGCCTGCAACGGGAAACTTGCGTCTCCCGTTTAAGGGGTTCTTTGTACGAGAGAAAGCACAGCAAAAAGCAAAGATCAGACAACAATTCACAATCAAGAAGGGTGTACGGCCCCACGCAGCTTGCCCGTCCACTGCATTACACTCACGGTTACGCATCAGGACCCAGTGTTCAGGAGTATTGGGCCAAGCGTGCTACTTTGCCACACGTTTCGTCGCAGCATCGTCTTCACGAGAGGAACCTTCGCAAGCAGCCCCACGTCCAACCATCCCAACTGAACGCAATTGTCAAACACTTACGTGGCACTCAGTATCCGCCACGCATACCGTTCCTGATTCTTCCACCAGCATGTGACAGCCGGCGCTCAGTTAGATCATGGAAGGACGCCTTGACATTTAAAACGCGTCGCTACCACTTACGCTCTTCAGTTGGCAGCCACAGCTTGGGGATTAAATGGCTGCAACGCTCCACTGTGAAAAATGATCGCTGATAAGCAGACGCTGTTCCTGGCTACCGCAAGTGGCTGCAGCGCCTACACAGCTAGCGAGGTCTTCTCCGGCAAAAACTGTATCATGGGCTTTGTGGGTGTGTAGTTTCATGCCTTGATGATCCTATACGGAGTGGAGTTTCCTGCCGTAACGATCCCACGCGCATGCATCTCGCATGCGCAGCCGCTGAGCCGTTGCCCGCAGTACAGAGGGTGACCATTGGAGAGGTCTGTTGAGCGATGCGTGGAAGTTTGCGTTCCCTACGTATTAGAAGAGGAATTCTGAGGAAAAGTTGGACATGCCATATCGAAGATAAAGACACACGCGAATTTGCTTGCCTTCTGACACCCGGCCTCCCCCCTTCGACTCGGTCGGTGCTTTCTGTCGGTCCAGCGGCTGCGCCGGCGGTCCGCGGGATGTAGGTGGACGGCAGTGACGGGGCTGAGTGGTGCAACTGAAAACAACGAACAAATGAAAAATGTGATTTTAAAGAGCATGAATTTGTGGATACGCATTCATCTGCTAGTAGCAAAGCTCGCCAGCGACACTCGACACGCCGGCTTCATCATCGCAACGCGGCAGCCGCCAACATTAGGACGCGATTCTGCCTGGCCGAATATGAGTTGTGCATAAGGATGAATCTCTCCCCCTATAATGATTTAAAGGAATGTCTTTATCTGCTTGTTGATTGAGGCTGATACATTGTCGGAGCCGTAGGACATGCAACAGGAGCCGGCCAACGGGGCAGCGCCTTATTCGTCTTCTACCACGAGTTATTCTCTCCTCCCAAGGCTGGACGCAGGCCACGTGCTTCTATGGTGATTGCATGAAACGCCGCTGGTGTGTGACTCCGTTGTCTAGTGTCTTCTTGGAGTGGTTGCCGACTGAGCTCGTCGGTGGCTCTGGGTTGCTCTTCCCTCCCGTGTTGAATTGGTTCCTTCCACTGTGACAACCTCTCCTCTGCTGCTGCTAGGTGGCAATGAGCTGCTGCGCATGCGAATGCGGGGAAGGCCGGGAGGCCGACAGCTTCGTGATGCGGGAGACGCCGCCAGTGCAGCCCCTGCAGTTTGTGGTGGCCGGAAGATCAATACAGCATCCTGAGAAGGCCGCATTGAAGAGCACGAACGCCGATGCCTTTGCAGCAGATCAAAATGTGGGTCCCCGTGTCAGTGGGCTGACTCCTTTGGGCCTTTATGTGTGCCGACAGTCGTGGTCGTTTCTTGGCGTTCGTTTCAGCATAGTGTGAAGCGATGCATTTTCTATTATTGTGCACCTTTCCCCATGCTTATTGAAAGGAGTACCCTGCTGCATATCCGTTACTTGCGTCCAAGTGCTGTGTTGCAGGTAATTGGCATAGCGGATGGGGTCAGCACGGTGGAAGACGAAGGGCTGGACCCCTCTGCATTACCTGCAGAGTTGTTAGGCTTGTGTATAAAGGAGAGCCGCGCGCGTTCGCTGAATTCGGCGGTGTTCGATGCAGAGGCGGAGGAGAGTTTGCATGCGTGCGACGTGGACATAGACACCCCGAAGTTGCCACTGTACATCCTGACCAAGGCATCTGTACAGTGCAAGAGCTTTGGTTCTACCACCTGTGTGCTGGCGCTTCTGGACGATTGCAGGCTGTGGTCAGTGAGCATTGGGGACTCGCAGCTGCTGGTGCTGCGGCGCACTGACACGCCTCCAAAGGCGTACCCTGCAGCTCACGAGTTCTCTTTCACAACCTGCCACGACAGTAGAGGACGGGTCTCGAACCCCGAGGAATACGGGGGCTACCAGGTGGTGTACAGAACGGTGTCTCAGCAGCATTTCTTCAACTGCCCCTTTCAGTTTGCTCGCATGCCGGACACTGACTGCTCCGGGGAGGCCATCCTCAGAAAGACGGCACAGACGGCAGATGTGGGGTCGGTCATAGTGCACCCCGGAGACATTGTCGTGCTCGGCACGGACGGCCTCTTCGATAACCTCTTCGACGATGATGTCCTGGAGCTTGTCAATAAACTCTGCTGGGAGGACGCACGGAACGGCATGCCCCCTAAATGCAGCCCCGCTGTCCTCGTTGACGCTCTTCTAGAGGTCAGTATAAGCGACGCTGGAGCGTTTATCTCTTCTCATTTTCCGTGTCCTGTTGTGTCTGGTGGGTTCCAATGTGCTGCTCTTTCCCCATCACCTCGCGGAAGGCCAAAGCAGTTCTAGTCCGAGGGGGTTAGACGAAACTGTAAACCTTAAGCCCTCAACCTGACGGCCTTTGACCTCCTACGTGTCAGCGCAACAGAGCTCCCTCACCTGTAGAAGCACCTTGTTGTTACTTCGCGTCGCATGCACACATCCCAGACGCTCCTTCAGAAAGCAATGCTGTCTTGTTTCTGCTGCTGCTGTTGCAAAGCAAGCGCTGCTGTTTCTGCTCCGTCGCCCTCGGTTGCCATTTTGCTGCCGGTGCTGTTTGTGCTGCTGGTGACCGTCCAACTACAGTCGCTGCTGCAGCGTGTACAATTGTCGCCGTTACCGCCTTTGCTTTCCGCCCTGTTTGATGTACTTTTCAGAGAGCAGTGAACGCGGGGCAGCCACCTCCGGGTGTCTCCTGGCCGGTGGTGACGCCGTTCTCTAAGGCGGCCTTCGACGAGGTGGGGCGTCGACTTGCGGGCGGCAAACCCGACGATATAACAGCAGTTGTAGCTTATATAGTCTCTTCAAGCGGACCACCCGCCACGGAGACCCAGCAGCACGGGAAAAGCAACGGCAGCTCGCCTTCATACAAACCAAACGAACAGCTCACAGGCCAAGGGAGGCAGGCGGCAGTGGGCGACACCTTCACCAGCGGTAGCAGTAGCTCGAAAGGTAGCGAGAAGAATACGATGCTGCCCAAGAGCGGGGGCCTGCAGCAGGCCTCTCTCCAGGGGGGGCTGTCGACAGTAGGGAGCCGCTCCAGCTTCCCGCCCAGAAATATTGGCGTTGTTCCGCCTGCGATAAAGGCGTCTATACACTCTGTGCCGCACATCCTGAAGCCGGGGGACTACACGGTCTTCGAGAGACTGAAAGAAAGGGCCCAACAGAGACTGCAGAGAGCCTCTTCCGTGCGGGCTGGGCAGCAGAGCAGAGAAGGCATAAGCCGCAGTTGGAACGCGTTGCCTTCTGCATTTGTTTTGGCATTTCGCAGTTTGTTCTCCACCAAATAAACACGAAGGGGCTCACCAAGAACAAACGGATCCCCGAGCAGTCGCTTCGGGGTTTCATAAGGAGCACAAGAAACAGAAGGTATTTCTTCTCTTCGCACCAAGAATATTTGTTCAGCCGCCGAGAATGTGCCGTTACCTCGTCTTGGAAAGCATGGAGTATAGGGCTATGAGGCACAAAGCCAAGAGGTCCTTTTGCTTCCCGCCACTGTAGTTTTTGCTACGGCTGCTTCAGTTGTTGCTGGAGTTGCTGCTACTGCAGCTTTTGCTGCTCTTGCAGGTGCTGCTGCCGGTTCTGCAGTTGCATCGGTTGTTGCAACTGCCTATTGTGGGCAGAGCACCACAGGCAGAGTAGGACACCGGTATATTTAGGCGAGGGGCTCAGTACTGTTCCGTTATTGTGGGGATGAAGGTTTTTAACTTTTTGGGGGGAAGGGAGGAGGGAAGCAGCGCCTCGCTTAAATTTAAGGGGTGTGTGCACGCTTTGTGGGGAGAGGTTTGAATTGTGGCACTACTTGTATATGATGTGTTTTTAAAGACCCAACCCGTAGACCCTGTACACTAGCGGCCTTTGTTCGTCTTCTGGGCGTCCTTGGTGTGTTTAATTGAAGTGAAGACAGATAGGAGTGTAACGGGTTTTCGGCGATATTTTCTGGTGGAACGACAGCCCGGCGGGCTGTTGCATATCTCTGTCTCCAGTCGAAGACAGCTGGGAGGAAACAGACACACAGAGACACAAAAATGCAGGAACAGGGGGACAGGCGGAGATAGACCAGCACACTGGAAGATAGATGGAGGCAGCGGCCAGTCACGAGCCGAAGGAGAGACGAAAAGGCAAGTACTGCTAAGGAAAGGAGAGCAGCAGATGGGTAGAGGCCACCGGACTACAAATGGAAATATATCGAGACAAAGGCTGCAGCAGAGGCAGAACAGGAGGAGACAAAGGGGGACACTACACAACGGGACAGTGCAAAAGCCACAGTGGCACAGGGGCATGAGGACCTTAGGAGTCTCAGCCTCGCGAGCAGAGAGAAAACAGGCTTGCAGCATTTTGCCCTTTCTGAGAGTCTTTGTACAGCTTCAGTCTATTCCGAGTGCTTTTCTTCTAAAAACGCAAAGGGTCGCCGAGGCAACAAGCCGCTGCTTACTGATCACTCGTACGAGGTAACCGACATCGCCCGTGTGCCCCAAAAGGACCCGCTTCAGATGCTTGTACGTGTCAGTTTCTGCATTTCCTGCTCTCTAGCTCGTTTCCTGAGTTGCTGCCTCAGGCAGTGGTCTTCTGGACGAGCAGGCGGCCTCCGTTGCGTGCGCAGTGGAGCTTATTAAGACTGCCTTTTGTGTCTTGAAGTGCTGTCCCCGTAAGAGGCTGTAACAGGAGCAGCGCTAGCAGCAGCAGTAGCGTCGGCTGCTGCTTAAGTGGCCTCCTCATTGTGTCTCCGTCGCGTCATTCGTAGTTGGCACGGGGAACTTACGATGCTGCTAGACTGAAGGAGCTATTGGAGGATATAGGCTAGCATGTGCGCCTGCTTGATGCCTCTAAGTTAAACTTTCTGTGTCTTTTTGAGAGACGTTCTCTGGCTACTTGCAGCTGATGCCCCCCTTCCCGTCTTAGTTCTGCTTGGGCTGTACTGTGCGGCGGAAAAGGGACACGAACCAGCCTAAAGGGGACAGCCTCTATTCCTGAGGCACACAAACACTTCACTTTTATTGAAACGTGGGTTGCCATTTCAAAGATTACGTAGCATTTCTTTCTAGCAAAGACATCAGACACTGAGTGCCCCGAAGTGACCGCTATGTGCCTCCTGTGCGTGGTGCCTTGGGCAGTTTGCCCGGCCTTATTTGGCAGTTATAAACGGAGAAATTGGGGGTAATGGAGACGTGTTATTCCCAAGAAGGTCTAAAGTTCCCCTCGGCTCCTCCTGCTGAATGGGAGCGGGCTGGCCCGTTCGCTACATTGGAGCGGTTTGTCGGGCGTGCGGCTGGAAGTGTCGGGGGGCCTTAGGGGAGCAGAGTTAAGGATTAAGAGGATTTTTGTATTCTTAAAAATTGGGTTTTGCTTCTATTTCCGTCAAATAGACCTTCGCCAGCCGTTGCAGCAGCAGCAGAGAGGAGAACAGGTCTGGGGCATGCGCTCGTGCTGCAGGCTGTCTCGGCGTGTGCTGTAGAAAGCTAGCGCGAAGACAGGAAGCAGGAGATTCGAGGAGAAGCCAGTTGAAGTTGGAATGAGTTAAATAGGATTTAAGCAGCTTGTAGCCTTAATAACTCGTATTCAGCTGCCTCTGTGGGGCCGCGGGCACCTTTCTTTGTCCCGCGCCGGCATCGGTTGCCGCGCTGCTGCTGCTCTACCTGCATCCACACTGTTTTCCCTCTGTCTCATGTAGAGTTCCTCTGTCTCTATTTTATCAAGCCTGTTCATTTGCTGCAGCTGCTGCTTCTTCGGGGGCCCGCAAACCCGAACTTTGCCCGCAGCTCCTCACCTCTTTCGCCACCTCTGCAGCACACATTGTCGGCAGCAGCTGCCATCCCTCCCCTTCAAAGCTCTTCGCGTCTGTTAGCCTTCGGGTTCGCAGGGAGTCATTCAACTGCAGCTTTTCCCTTCTTGCTGTAGAGACAGCAGCGCAGCAAGGCCTGCCCAAGCCCCTTGTCTTGCTGTAGCTTGCCACCGTTGTCTGCGTACCCGCCCTCCTCGCCTGCGGCCTAATGACGGGGCCCATAGGAACTGGGAGCTTCGGCTCCTTGGGGCCTTACGGAGCAGAGACAGAGGCCGCAAGGGCGGGGAGGCGCCAGGACGCGGAGCGGCAACAGTACATCACCAAAATCCCCTCTTCTTCCTTTCTACGCATCACACCAGAGAGGACAGACAGACTCAACGCTGCCGATGCCCTCTTCGCAGTCCCTGTTGTGAGTAATGCTAGCTATAGAGACCCCCCTAAGAGGGACTTGTTCACGTGGTCTTTGTTGGTTCTTCGTGCTGCATTCCTCTACTAAGTACTGCAGAGCTCTCTGACTCCTCCTCGCTTTTCTGCTACGGGAGCCGCAGAAGGGACGGTCTAGGGTGATATGGTTTTTGCCAGCATGGGATGGGGAGAAGCGTACCTCATTTTTTGTCTCCCGTAGGGATTTGTGTCCTAGCGATTGTCTGCATGCCTATATGCCTCTCTGTCCTCTTCCGTTCGCAAAAGGCGCTATCTGGCTATTTCTCTTGTCTTTGCAGTGTATCTGTGGGTTGATAAAAGTCTGGGGCTGCGGATGTACATTAGTTTCCGTGCGTGTATGCATGTACATGCGCTGCTGCTCCTCCTGCCAATGCTGCTGCTTCTGCTGCAACTGCTGCAGCTCCTCCTGCTGCTGCTGTTTGTGGGGTATTGTCTTCTCAGGCCGAGCAGCAGCGACTGGTGGAGCGTTTTATTGACTACGCAGAGCAGGTGAGAGGGGCCCAGCTGCACCTGCTGCGGGAGCACGATGGCTCTCCAGTTGAGCAGCGGTTTCTGCAACAAGTCGAACTTCTTCAGCGTCCCTTCGCTGCAACGGATGCAGCAGCAGACATCACAGGGCAAAGCCGAGCCAACAGCAGCAGCAATGGCATTAGCTACGGCATCAGTAACGGTAGCACCTCGATGGCCGCGTCTGTGGGGACTAAGGAGTGTCTTCGAGGGCAGCATCCTTCGTTTGTGCGTTTTCGTCTGATAGAAGGAGCTGTCTCCTCCTTGGTGCTGGGCCCAGGCGGAGGGTCTGGTTGCGGGTCGCAGGTTCAGATGCGGACGTCTTCGGGGTTCCAAGGAGGAGACAGCGACGCAGTAACGCACGGCAGCAGCACCATAAGCACGAACGGCGAGGGAGAGGAGGAGGAGACCCTTTTCGCGTGTCAGTTGGAGAGCTTCTTGCAGCTTGCAGTCAACGAGATAGCGACGAACGAGCTGATGGGATGGGAGGGGCAGGCGGAGACAAAGAACGCTGCAGCTGTGCAGCTGAGGTGCCGTAGGGTGGTTATGGCGGGGGCCCTTGTCCCTCTGGCCCTCGATGACACTCTTGTCATTGAACACAAAGTGACGCTCCGCAGGGGGACTGTCTCCTCAACCTCCAACAAGGCACCGCAGGCCAACGGGGCGCCTCCTGAGGGGACGCCTTCCGGGGCGCTTGACATTGCGGGGGACACAGAGAGACTGCGGGACACGCTACACCAACACGCCTATCAAGGTTGTCTCCGTGTCCCCGTTACCGACCAGTTCAAGGTAAACACACGCACAGTGAAGAGACCCAAGAGCAAAGCTTTGCAGCCGCCCACCCTGCTGTGCCTGCTGTTGCGCCTGCTCCTGTGCCTGCTGCAAATGCTGCTGCTGCCGATGCAACTCCGAGCGCTGCCGCCACCAGGGCTGCTGCTAATGTGGGTTGTAATCAAAAGGCCGCTGCTGCTGCTGGCTGCAGGCACAGAGGGGAGGGAGACGGGGAAGTATATGTCAAGAGCTCACGGCCAGCGTCGTGGTGCTGGCGAGGGCAGACGAGCCCAGGTGTATGTCTATATTCTATCACTTCAGAGAGTAGGCGGCCAACACTGTCTTTGTGCTGGAACTGTTGCCTTCTGCTGCTGCTGCTGTCTTCTGCGGCTGCTGCTGTCTTCTGCTGCTCTTGCCGCCTTCCGCTGCTGCTGCCTTCTACTGGTGCTACTGAGTTGCTTCGAAAGGCTACTCAGGGTCCTGTTTGACGTACTTGCAAACTCACTGAAGGCGCCGAGGTGAGGTGTTTGAGTTGTCTCCGCAGCCACCAAGAAGGCAGCTTCATCATCGACTCGCCGGAGTGGAGACAGATGCAGGAGGCTCTGGCTCCGCTGCTGGCCTCAAGAGAAGTTTCTACCTTCAGGGGCCTCTTGCACACGCGGCGTGAACAAACAGGGCTATGCTACGGTCCCCCCGTGGGCCTGGAGGTGGTGAGGCGGAGGAGACAAAGGCAGGACAGGGCAGGGACAGAGACAGAATGGAGGCCCACGCAGCTGCTACTGTAGTAGAAACAAAGAGAAATACAGGGGCAGCTGTTAAAGGACGAGTAGATGCGGGGACAGACGAGGAGACAGTACAATATTCCAGATATTCCAGGATGAAGTTGCGATAGCACTGCAGTTTTCTTTGAAGCAGCAAGGGATTTCGTGGCGTCTTTTTCACTTGTCTGTTGCCGCGTGCAAGCCACCTTCTGCTGGGGGCGGGCACATTCTTCGTTTGCACGTTCACGAGCTGTCTCCTTTGCAGTGTATGTACGCCTGCAGCCGGCCTTCACCCCTCTGCGCGCCCCCCGCGACACCTGTGACTGGGCCTCGCAGCTGGACGGCAGTGCCGTAGTTCAGTTGGACCCGAAGTTGCAGGAGTTTGTGCCACAGCTCCGGCAGCGGTTCCGGACGCTGACGGAGACACTTGCTGCAATTAAGGATTCCTTCGGCAGCCTCGAAGCCTTCGCGGAGGGCCACAAGCTCTTCGGTCTCCAGCGCGAGGTAGTAGACGGGTGCGCACACCATCTGCTTGCATTCACTCCATATATAATGGCCTTGCCTTGCGCCTCTCTCTCTCTCTCTCTCTCTCTCTCTCTCTCTCTCTCTCTCTCTCTCTCTCTCTCTCTCTGTCTGTCTGTCTCTCTCTGTCTGTCTCTCTCTCTCTGTCTCTCTCTCTCTGTCTCTCTCTCTGTCTCTCTCTCTCTGTCTCTCTCTCTCTGTCTCTCTCTCTCTCTGTCTCTGTCTCTCTGTCTCTGTCTCTCTGTCTCTGTCTCTCTGTCTCTGTCCCTCTGTCTCTGTCTCTGTCTCTGTCTCTGTCTCTCTCTCTCTCTGTCTCTGTCTCTCTGTCTCTGTCTCTGTCTCTGTCTCTCCAAACGCGCGCGCGCGTTTGGCCCTCCTTCTGAAGGCGCCGTTTTATCATTGCACCAGCGCACGCTTCCGCCGAAGCGTGTGCTCGTGTTTTTCGTCTCCTGCGGCCTTTGGGGGCAGGTTGCGTTGAGGGGCTTTCAGGGCTGTTTCCCAGTACTGGCTGTCTGTCCCTTTAGCAGCAGGCATTTAAGGTTTTAAGGTTGCTGCGCGTGTATTGGTTGTGCTCTGTCTTCTGCAGTGTCTGCGGGTACGCGTACCGCGAGTGGTTGCCGAACGCCAAGGCGGTGTATCTCTTTGGAGACTTCAACAACTGGGACCGTTCCTCGCATCCTCTTAAGCGGGAGCGTCGTGCTGTCGCTCCCTCTTTCTTTGAGGCCTCGTTGGGGGCCCTCAAGGGCGTTAAGGCCGACTTGTTAGCTGAACAGGCACCCGGCGAACAGCTCAGCTCCGTCTGGTCCATCTTCATACCCGACAACTCCGACGGCTCCCCTGCACTCTCCCATCGGTGCGCCTCGCAATCTGGAGACTGCACTGAGGTTACGGTTGTCAGGGAGGGATGTACAGTAACAGTGGGAGCATACATGGCCCCTCTCTCTCTCCTCTTTGCAGCGACCAGTGGTGCTGGGCTTGCATATAGCTGGCTAGCAAGCAAGCCACTGTTACAGCTCGCGCGCCTCTTGGCGTATCGTGGTGGGCTGCAAGCCAGTATGCGCGATGAGCGTGCAGCCTGACGCCATGTTGGGTGCCTAGCTGGTTATGTATGCACGCGTACATGAATGCTTGGTGTGTTTGTGTGTGTGTGTGTGTGTGTGTGTGCTTGTTCGGTACCCTGTACTGGAGCTGCATACATGGTTAGCACAGGCTGAGGCTAGGCTTGTTGTGCGCTGTGTATGTGCAGCTGCCGGCTCCGGGTGCTGGTGGTGCCTCAAGAAGGAGATCCCATCGACAGAGTGCCCAGTTGGTCGCGAGTAGTATGGCGCAGTGAGGATTCCGGGCTCTTCAACGCAGTTCTGTGGAATCCACCAGAGGAGGTAGGCGTCTTCTGCGTAGAATAAATGTGCTATCTCGAGAATCTGTACCTAGCTGGAGCTGGTAGTGTTTGGGCCTTTATTTCTTTACGCCTTGCTCTCTGAAGCGCCCGCTGTTGCTGCTGCAGCTGTTGCTGCTGCAGCTGTTGCTGCTGCAGCTGTTGCTGCTGCAGCTG